GCTTCAGTGCATGGCTGCCGGCCACCATCTTGGCTGACAGTTAATTTGCATAAGGATATGCTGATTAGCCAATGGGAAGGGTAGCGGTCGTACGCTAATTACCATGTTTCTCTTTTATTAGTGTAGACTAGAGGCCCAAAGCACAAAATTTGTACACAGGTAGGGTCCCTAGGCCTGGCCAGAGATCAGGACTGATCTGTGGAGCGACTGGCGGGGTGATCGGGGGGGCCCCCCACTGGCACCTGCCTTGGCTGGCCTGGGGTCTGCAGGCTGGGGGAAGCTCCTGCGTTGAGTGTCTGCCCCTGGTGGTCAGTGCACGTCATAGCAAGCAGTCGTTCCACCAATCGGTCTGCTGTTCCGTTGATTTGCATATTAGGCTTTTATTATATAGATCAGTGGTTCTCAACCTGTGGGTTGTGATCCCTTTGGCAGTCGAACGACCCTTTCACAGGGGTCGCCTAAGACCATCCTGCATATCAGATATTTACATTACGATTCATAACAGTAGCAACATTACAGTTATGAAGTAGCAACGAAAATAATTTTATGGTTGGGTCACAACATGAGGAACTGTATTTAAAGGGCCAGAAGGTTGAGAACCACTGATATAGATAGTAATCCTTATTTATCAGTATGTTGAATATTAACACATTGCAGACCAGTAGTCTTATTGCTAGCTTTACCCAGTGGCCAGATAAGTTTCTACTGAACGGTTCAAAAAACGTTCTACATAAATGTTAAAGGCACTCTTTAAAATTAAATAGCCATTGCATTTTGAAGTTACTTATTGCATATTCTTACAAGCTAATATCTTTTTAAAGTATAATACTTTGTAAAACACTGTGTAATATGAAGGGAGAATTCTCATGATCCGTCTGCAATGTGTTAACAGCGTCATCAAAGCTAAAATGTAGAAAGCTGCAACTTTACATAATAGTTCATTCTTTTAAAAACAGTTAAGCAAACTCATTATTGCTTATGATCTAGTTATAGACAGAACAAAGTAAAGTTACTGCTTTAAGTGCTTTAGTTAGGTTAGGTATTTTTCATCTTTCAATTAGATAGTACAATTATAATAATTGGTAATAGTTTATTATATTTTTGACTCGTTAACTGACAAAAATATTCCAGTTTGGTTTATTTGCAAGTGATGGTGTAATGCGACATCAAAGCATATATTGTAGAATGCATCAATGAATATATTTAGCACCATTATAAAATACTTTATAGTTTAATTTATTGAAGCTGTAAAATTAAAAAAAAAATATTGAAAATTTGACCTAAACCTAGATACATTGGAGATAGTCACATGTTCAGTGAATATCCAGAAAGAATATCTTAAAAGCAATGTGGAACCCAATAGGTGTAGCTCAGTGGTTGAGCATGGACCCATGAACCAGGAGGTCACAGGTTCCGTTCCCGGTCAGGGCATGTGCCTGGTATTGCAGGCGGGCTGGATCCCCAGTAGCGTGTGTGTAGGAGTCAGCCAATCAGTGTTTCTCATTGATGTTTCTATCTCTCTATCCTTCTTCCTTCCCCTCTCTCTAAAATCAATAAAACATATTTTTTTAAATGTGGAAGGCTCTAAAATAATTCTCTAACAAATAGAAATTTAAAAGAAATATTAAAATTATACTTACGCTATATTGTAAGTATATACAGATTACATATTTGCAAATTTAAAAATGTGTTTAATTCTTGGGTTGGGTACTTCTACAAACCTCAGCTATCTTAGTAATCATTTTCCAGCTAGGAACACTGTTTTATAGAGTTTAGAGCAAAGCAAGACTACAGTTAATGGTTTTTTCCCCCTTGATGTTTACTTTCATTCATTCACACACATGTGATTTAACCCATCTGCTTAGCTAATAAATGAGTCTTAGACCTGTGACAGTTCATTGATATGCTGGTATCCTAGTAGGTTTCGTTGGTTGCACAGGAGCTACAGGCAAATGCCCAATGTCTCCTTAGCAAAGAAAATTTAAAATAGAAATGACATGAGTTAGGGATATGAGTGCACATCATGGTTGAGCCAGAAAGAATAAAGATAAAATTTAATAGTTTTGCTAATTCAAACAAAAAGGTAAATTCTAGAAAGAGTTAATATTTGAGATGAATTAATGGCTTAGCTATTCAGCTCATCCCATATTTAATAAAGATTAGTTAATTCTATAAGCATTTAT